AGAATAATAGAAGCATAACCACCCCATCCGCCACTCCCCCTCCTCCTCCTCCTCCTCCTCCTCCTCCTCTTCCTCCTTCCTAATTATTTAACCAATTCATAAACCAAGAACCCATACATTGACCACTAATTATGAAACATATGTTGTAGATATTTTTCCACATTTATTGTGCTATTTTTGTGATATACATATGACATGAGAAAACTTGGTATACTTATTTGTGTAACATTATTCTTGTTTATGAAACTCAATTAAAAAACAAAAACAAAAAAAAAACAAGGAGGGAGCCAGTCTGCAGGGAGGGAGTTCCCGAGTCTGGGAGCAACCACTAAGAAAGCCCTTTCTCGCATCCCCACCCAGCATGTTTGTGAGGGTGGTGGGACTGAGAGAAGGGCCTCCCTGATGATCCCAGGCAGGTTCATATGTCTTTCAGATAGCTTGGGCCTAAGCCATGTTGACCTGCGTCAACAGCCATCACATTCTGAGGTATATAAAACAAACTGAAACAATAAGTGCTGTTATTTAATCCTGAGTACATCCAAAATCTTGGAAGAAGCTTGCCCTCCACGCTGAAATGATCCTCCATCATCACACCAATATGAGAAATAGTGAGCAAACCTCTCAAGTTTCATAGGCACATATATTTTTACCCTTACACTTACAAGCCAGAAATCTCTGCGTATTCAATTGTACGCTTCATAAAAGTCTATATATTCCTTAGAGTGTCTTGAACATTTGGGAGCAGCAGTTTGCACATTCAGAATTTTTATAGTTGACACCTAAGGTTTTCTTAACTAATTGGGATGGATACAGCCCAACATAAAAAAGGTACCCGGCTATAAATCTGACTTTAATGAGATTTTGGAATCAAAATGTTTAGAAAAGGATCTTCCAAGGCAGTATTTAACAAGTTGCAGTGGATTCAAGAGGGAATAATATTTTTCTGTTCCAATTTATATATTTAATTTTAAAAAATAATTAAAAAAAATACTTTTCCAGAAAAAAACCCTACAGAACACTTTTTATGTTCCTAGGCCAGAAGCAATTCACTGCTAAGTTTTCATACTTGGTATTCTCAGACTAATTCTGTTATGGTTTAAGGCTTGGCCAAAATAACCCCAACTGAAGTAAAATTAAATTGCAAGTTTACATGTGGTAGTATTTTTATAAATTCATGAAAAGTAAATATTGAGGGCTATGGGATGAGAGTGTGCAGAACTGCCGCTGACCAGCTGTCCAGGTTGGGGGAATTCCACAAGTAGAACATTAAAAGCATTTTGTTTTCCAAAACAGGGTTGTGTGTTTCTCTTTCTTTTCTTTATTTTAAGCGAAGCATTACAAACATCCTGCCAAAATTAAAGAGAAACTTTTAAGTTCCTGCTGTTTGCTTACTGATAAACTAAATGTAGGCATTCAACCATTTGTGCAAACTGTACAGCTTTGATCAAACTGTTCAGCAAGTGTTAAGTATTTGTCAAATTAAATGATCAATATTCTTGGAAACTGGAGATTTTTTTTTTAAGAAACACTGAAAATTTCCTCTTTAAATTAATGTCAGTGGGAGCAGGAGTTTGATGTTTTCACATATTCGTTCATTATTTCTTCTCTTTTGTCATTGCTTTGGTGGAAATTATTAACAGATAACATTGCTTTAGGGAGTAATTAGAATGGAAGGAGAACTATGGAAGGGGATTAAGCGATATGCTAAATGTCCATCACTAATTAATTAGCAAGAGGTAGGTAAACTGGCAGACAGTAGGTGTATTATATATCACTGTTCAGCCTACCACCTGTTCAGCTTCCCTCATTCATCAGACTACTGCCTACAAAAGGTCCTTGCAACATCAGACAAGTTAGTTTGCAAGGTGCTTCTGTCTCCTTATCTTAATGAAAATCTTCTATATCGCTGCAATGAATAAACCTCTTTCTGGCTACATTTTGAAACCCCACCTATCTATACATTAAAAACCTTGCCTTGATATTACACAATATCATGTTGATGAAGAAACAAAGGAATCTCCCGGGGCTGGCCCTACCATTAGGGAGAGTACGGCAGCTGTCTCAGAAAGTCAATGCAGGGAGGAGGAGAGAGATATTTGCAGAGAGTTATGTGTGACACTGAGGGACGCGGGTGGCACTGTGGGTTAAACCACAGAGCCTAGGACTTGCCGATTGGAAGGTCGGCGGTTCAAATCCCAGCGGCGAGGTGAGCTCCCGTTGCTCGGTCCCTGCTCCTGCCAACCTAGCAGCTCGAAAGCACGAAGTGCAAGTAGATAAATAGGTACCGCTCTGGCGGGAAGGTAAATGGCGTTTCTGTGCGCTGCTCTGGTTCGCCAGAAGTGGCTTAGTCATGCTGGCCACATGACCCGGAAGCTGTATGCCGGCTCCCTCGGCCAATAAAGCGAGACGAGCGCCACAACACCAGAGTGGGTCATGACTGAACCTAATGGTCAGGGGTCCCTTTACCTTTACCTTATGTGTGACACATGGCCAGCCCTGTGGCCCCTAAGCTAACCTACAACTTTCAGATGTAACCAGAGGATTCTGACGTAATATTCAGCTGCCAGCCACGTTGGCTTCTATATCTGTAATGGGACAGGGGTGAGATCAACTTCTCCTTCGCCTCAAGCAGTAAAATGTCTTGGGTTGGCTGCAGGTGACTACCATCAATATCATTTTGTGCTTTGTGTTAACAGTGCCTATGAACTAGAGATTTTTTTGTGGGGGGGAATTCATCTGGTTTACATTTCAATATGAATCAAATTTGCACTTCTGGAACCAATAAGTGAACCGAACCACACCTCTCATTCAAAGACTTAAATTCTCCAAATTAATGGTGCTTTTCTCCAAACAAAGAATGCATACAAGTATGTGCATATTAATGGGAATTATATGCAGAAAATGCATGTATTTGTGAAGATAATACACAAAACAGCAAAACAGAGAAGTTAGAAGTCTAACTCCCCTTCTATTTTCAAAATTGCTCATATTTTGTGGATTCCCCTGCTCCCCACTCTCTTTCTGTTTTACCAATAAAGCTGTCCTTTGTGTGTATATTAGGAAATGGACAGATAATGTAATTAATCATAATATTTACTCACTGTAGCATATGTTTCATTCTAAGCCACAGAGTTGTATACAAATGCACAGTAAATATTCTAAAACAAGTAGTATTACCTTCGACTTTCATCTTATTCTAAGCTAATTGGATAAACTGGGCAGCTCTTAACAAAAATTCAGAGTTGGCAACTGTGAGCATTTGTCACACAGAATTTGGGTCACCACTGGTAGGAGAGAAAAAAACCTATTAGTTGGTTTGAGCACATCTGCTTTTCTGGAATTCTAAGCTGTAAGCTTTCCTGTTTACTGCCTGTTTCTGCTCGAAAACAAGGACAGTTGTTATGTGCATATTGCAAACAACAAATCCAGGCTTCAGCAATAAAACCTCAAAACCAGTGTTTACTTGTTTCACTGTCAGGAAAATAACTCATCTAGATTCTAAATCTTCACTGCCTACCCAGAAGCAGTAGAAACCAGAAATAAAGAGCAATGTCTGAGGGGGATGACATGAGCAGGGCTGCCATTTCTTACTCAAGGCTTCAATCCTGACCTCGCTTAACCTGGGTGTAAGTACTTGCTTCCGATTGGACATGGTTAGGGTTGGGAGTCCTAGTTGCAAGAAAATTTTGTAGAGAGGACAGGTTAAAATCGTTTCGAAGGCCAACCCACACCATCAGATTGGGGTCCGGTTTTCCCTCTTTGGAGACTGTTCTTCACTGCCAACCCTGAGGTCACAGTAGGCAGAAATACTGCAGTACTGAAGCAGTGATCAGAATGCCCCATTACATGCTCAGTTCTCCATTTTTCAAACATTTCCAATTCTGCACTAAATTGGAACTTGGGGCCACAGTACAGCTAACTTGTGTGTGACCACTTTGCATTTTTTATTTAGGGCAATGGGGTAGAGTCTATGATAATGTGGCATGTTAGTCTAAGAGTCCATTCTGTAAATTCATTCATTTTTTTTAACCTTACTAAAAAAATCTTACTAAAAGCAACAAATATTTTGTTGCATGTGCTCTCAAGTTATTTCATATGCAGTACTTTGAATAAATATTTGCTCTACTCTGCATTAAGCATTGACATACTTACGTAGTCATAGTTCTTATTTAAATGTCTAGTTTCCTCTCTAAGCATCCAAAACATCTAACAATAGCACATAAAACATGAGAGACAGCCTGGTTCCATCCACTGGACAGAGGGCGAGCAACTGCTTGCTGCTTGCTTCTGCCAGAAAGAGCACTCTGCTCCAACAGAAGGTTTCCATGGGACTGAAGAAGGGAAAGGAGGCACCCTCTGGCTTCTACCACTGGTCAGGAGACCAAGGGCTTCTGGGAAGGTAAGAGGCTGCACCCACTGCATTCCAGGAGGAACATCATGATGAGGCAGAAACCAAGACAGCCACATCTATTAGCCAATAAACGAGCAGCTGCTTCAATGTTTGCCTTCCTCTTCCCTCCCCATTCCTTTTTCCTTTTGTGCTGTGTCTCATTAGATTGTATGCCTGCAAACAGGGACTACCTTTAGATATCTGCACAGCACTTGGAAATATTAGGCACTTTATTCAAAAAGCATTTATATTGTTATTATTCATAATAAAATATAACAAAAAGTGTGCAGAAGATGCCAGGCAGCCAAAGCCAAGGTTATTGGAAATAAAGCAGTAAGAACAGTGTGTGGTTGCTGGAGGCAGGAGTGAAAGCACGTCAGGGAATGCTCAGAGTGGGCCTTCAAGTGGCAGCCCAGGGGATTCGACCTGTGTCCCAGCACATATTTTTGGCCCAAAAAGGAACTGCAGCAAGACCAGCCACGCTGGCAAGGAAACGTTTTTTCACCAATTGAACAGGTCAGGTGATATTCCCTGAAACTTCACAGAATTGTAGAAATGGAAGGGACCATGAGGGTCATCTAGCCCAACCCCCTGTAATGTTAGAATATTTTGCCCAATGTGAGACTTGATCCCACGGCCCTGAAATTAAGAGTCTCGTGCTCTACCGACTGAGCTACTTATCAGGCTTGCTGTGTACGAATAAAGGATACTGGGGTGGGTGGGGGTGTCAGTTTATGGAAATAACAGCAAGGCAAGATGGGCAAAGCCTTTACACAATTATCTGTAGCTCACAGTGGGAGATTCGTAGGTTTTAGTGAAGTTTGTACTTAAATCGGAGCTCTTGAGGATCAAGCTTCACGTCATGGGTGTTTTCTTATAGCTGGTTCCTCACCTCCTTTCATTTGAGCTCAACAATAAAAAAAGTTATGCCAACAATGAGGTGACAGCAAGTCACAAGTAGAGCCTTAAAGATGATACAAGAGAAACATTCCAAGAAGTGCCAAGAGCATTATTTATTGGAGAGAGGCAAGGGTTTATGTCAGGAGCTTTCCAACTCCAGACAAAGCCTGTCTCTAGTTACTGCCATCAGTTTACAGCCTGGGTTTTCAAGGTCTGCACGGATACTTGACTCCGAACAGGAATTCAACGGAATTCCGGACAAAAGTTCAAAATCCATCTCCAGCTAAACAGCTTCCCTCAGCAATACAGCAAAAAGCAGAGTGGCCCCGGGCGTACCTGAAAAATCTGTTAGGTTTAGTTTTAAATGCAATGCAAGCGTTTCAACATGAGCAGAATTATATATCTGTCTAATGGTAAAAGCAAGCAGCTTTTCCAAAGTAAACTCTTCTGAATTAAGAAAAGATGGTGCTCCCGACATGATCGACTTAGCAAGTTACTCTACTCCTGTTCCTCAACAGCTTTTCTAATTATATCATTAAACATGTCAGAGAGGCCAATTGCAGCAGAATCCCATGCTTACTGGAACAGGGACTGAGTGCAAGGCCAGTCAGTAAACTTCATAGCTGAGCAGCTAACCTGCCCCTTCCCCACCTCTTTGGCTCTCTAAGAATGTGGGAACAATATAAAATTGTCCTTGCCATCCACCCACCCACCCACCCACCCACCCACCCACCAGCTCTTGTGTACTTATTGGGTTAAAAGGGTTGTGCTGTTTTCTCCTCACATGAAGGGAGCAGAAGTCTTATTCCAAACCAGGTTGTTTTTAAAAGTAGCCTACAATGTCAGCTTTCTTTTCAAACTCAACACTTTTCAGCTTTTTCAACCTCTCGGCACTTGGAAAACAGGCAGTACTTTTGCCTAGTTCTCAGAGCTGATCTACAGGAGATGCAAGACAACTGCGATTGGCCCACAAACAAATATTTTTAAAAAGAATAATGCAGAAGAAGCTGCAGGGTGCTCAGGATTAGATGGGAGCCACAATGGCATTGGAAGAGTGGGTGGGTTAACCATTTCCCCACACTCAGTATTCTCCATAGCCCGGTTGCTTAGAGCATTTGTGCTGATAACACCAGGTTGCAGGTTCGATCCCCACATGGGACAGCTGCAGATTCCTACAATGCAGGGGGTTGGACTAGATGATCCTCAGAGTCCCTTCTGACTCTACAGTTCTATGATTCTATAATCTCCACCTCCATCCCAAGCTGCTGTTTATCTCAATAGGGTGAACGAAAGCTCTGTGGGAAGAGCAAAATTGAGACAATGCCATTGAATATATCTATATGTTTTTTTAAAAATAAATCCCTGCATACAGAATACTCGCATATCAGGGAGAAGCCTATGGTAGAAACCTTCTCCCTGATATCAGGTTTTCTATGTGCAAGGTTTTGTATACAGGAGAATCCAGTTATGCAGCCCCCTCCAAGCACCTGGCGCAGTCAACACACAGGTTTATCACCAGGGTGAGAAGTGGACTTTAATCAACTGCATGTCATCCGTCACAAGTTTTCCTATTTAATGAGTTCCAGGAGCAGTGCTTACCCGATTGCTTACCATAAGGACAGATGACTTGAAGCTTGTGCTATTTGCATTTACTTGCACACATGCAAATTTTAATATATGAAGAAACAGAGAGCGTAGTACAGTGGTACCTCAGGTTACATACGCTTCAGGTTAAAGACTTCACTAACCCAGAAATAGTGCTTCAAGTTAAGAACTTTGCTTCAGGATGAGAACAGAAATTGGGCTCCAGTGGCGTGGCAGCAGCAGGAGGCCCCATTAGCTAAAGTGGTGCTTCAGGTTAAGAACAGTTTCAGGTTAAGTACGGACCTCCGGAATGAATTAAGTACTTAACCTGAGGTACCACTGTACTTCCTACAAGCAGCAAATCCATAGTTTTTCACAGTTCTCCAAAGAAGCAGCTCCACACACACGTCTCTCTCTCTCTCTCTCTCTCTCTCCCCTCCCCCCCCCCACTGCCCATTGTTCTGGTCAGTTACAAGGAATGATTATATTTATTCCTGGAATGCTTTGGCCAAGTGCATCTCCATTTTTAATCCAGGAAAGCAGGGGCCCAGGTATCAAAAGTTAGGGGAACTTGTGAGATAAGCCACCTAGTTAAAGCTTTTAAGATGGACTGCCCTTAAGGGAAACATTGGCTTCGATTTCCCTGCACAGGGGTTTGGGGCCTCAGCCGTTGCTCCACAGACCAAGAAGCATTTTCTCCATTTGCGAGTGAGTTCTTTTCCATCTCCTCTTGCGTTGTTTTATGGAATGCTAGATATGTCAGGCATGTCGCTGGGGGATGACAGCTCTCTGAGGCTGATGGAACCTACAGAGTCTTCACACATATGCTCCCTCGCTCACACGCACACAAACCCCCCTACACGCCCAACGAAAACAACCTGTTAAATCTATAAACCTACTGTAGTAACAGGTGCTACTTGTGAAGCAATATCTCTATGCAGCTCTCAAATACTTTTGGCCGCGGAAACAATTGCCAGAGCTCCAAGCCAAGGGAGCCTTCCCCAAGAGATTTGATAAATAAGGGAAAACAGACGAAAGAAAGGAAAGGCAGCTGTTTGGAAACGAACTGCAAAAACATCTGTACTGCGCTCCTGAGGAACTTTAAGGGGATATGGCTTTACAACGAATTTCAGTCTACTGGAAAGGACACACTCAGACATGAAACAAACTTGCAGGAAGGAGGTCTGATGCTGAAGTGGGCCCACACTGAAAACCTTCTTTTACAGGCATTGAAGTATACAAACTGGAGTATTCTTAAAGAGTGTCCTTGAATGTTTTCGGTTTCTTTCCCCCTTGTTATATGTAATAAAGTATTTGGGTTTGTTTGGGGTTTGTTTGTTTTTTGCAACCTGAATGGCTGTGGACTAGCAACTTGAACCCGATTAACAAACTGAAATTGCGAAAGCTATTAATGGGCCCATCCACACCTCGGCTTAACATGGATTGTCAACCCCTTAAAAAAAAGGTAACCAACCAGATTGTGAACTCTTCTGTACGTCTGCTGCTAGAAAAGGTGACCTGAGGAGTTTATTTTCAAGTAATTTCTATGCTGCTCTTTGTACAGGTGAGCATGAAAAGCAGCGCAGAATGTGAAAAGACAGTTTTCCCTTTCATGTCCCAGGTGGGAATGTAAAAAAAAACAACACAGGAGAGTTTTGCTTATTTCTTACATTTCTATTCTGACTTTCCTCTATGGACTCTAAGGCAACATGTGCATTAGAACCCCAGGTGGTCTCCCATGCAGATGGCTTGACCAGAGCCTGACCAACTTGGCTCCTGCAAAGTTGTGGCATGATGTGCCTTCAGGCTATGTCCTGGGAGCTACGGACAGTGCCTCCCTTCTAGAAAAAGCCTCACATTTTACATGCCTCGAAGCAGATTTAAATGCATTAAATGTATTATCACCATGTTTCTCAAAGGCAGGGAGGACATCCTCTAGGAGGTGAGATCAGTTGGAGAGATGTGAACATCTTCTCCATCCTTCAGAGCACAGCTGTCTGTGTGAGCCACATAACATGTGCTAGTCAACTTAATGCTGATTGGCAGCCCTGGGACCAGCCTCCTATTCTTCCAATTATTCCCTGGACCTGTTCCCGACGGAACACTTAAAATATACTTGTGTGTGGCCTTATTCCACCACTTTTAGGCTGCCTGGAGTTGGGAGTTGAGTGAACACCAATGAGTGGTCTTCCTTTCCTTAGTTATTATCTAAGGAAAACTCAAAACACTTCCCCCATTTCACCATGAACTAACAATACCCAGTACTTGTATGTGCACTGATAAAGCAGTAAATTCCTTATGTGGGATTAACCTAAATGCACAATGAACACCGGGACGCGGGTGGCGCTGTGGGTTAAACCACAGAGCCTAGAACTTGCCGATCAGAAGGTCGGCGGTTTGAATCCCCACGACGGGGTGAGCTCCCGTTGTTTGGTCCCTGCTCCTGCCAACCTAGCAGTTCGAAAGCACGTCAAAGTGCAAGTAGATAAATAGGTACCACTCCGGCGGGAAGGTAAACGGCGTTTCCATGCGCTGCTCTGGTTCGCCAGAAGCGGCTTAGTCATGCTGGCCACATGACCCAGAAGCTGTACGCCAGCTCCCTCGGCCAATAAAGCGAGATGAGTGCCGCAACCCCAGAGTCGGTCACGACTGGACCTAATGGTCAGGGGTCCCTTTACCCTACAATGAACACCATAATGCACAATGCATTATTCCTTCATTATTTGCCTAGATCCCAGTTTGTTGCTGCTAAAAGGCTTCCTATAGCCAGTCACTGGCAGCGCTGTAATTGGTGTGCCCAATTTTTTGGGGGGGGGCACTGGATAATGAAAAACCATATTAGAAAGGAAATTCCAAACTTCAGGAAGAATTTTCTGACAATAAGAGCTGTTCAACAATGTAACGGTATCCCTTTGAAGGTTGTGGGCTCTCCTTCCTTGGAAGTTTTTAAGCAGAATTTGGATGGCCATCTGTCATGCATGCTTTAGTTTAGACTCCTGCATTGCAGGAGATAGTACTAGATGGCCCTTGGGATGCCTCCCAACTCTTCCATTCTACGATTCTATGTTTTAGTTCACACCTGTCCAGGAGAGTGCTGATCTGGAAAAAGTTTTGAGAACTCTTGAGACTACTGTGCAGAAACTGCTGTGCTACTCAAAGAACAGATAATATAATTATGTGTGACCCAATTAGCTAAATTCAA